TTATTGTATAATAAGAGCCTCTCCGCTACAGGAAAGACATGCTTCAATCGTCACGCTTGAAAATCAATGGTAATAAGAGGATTTCTTACGTTACATACCAGCACATTCTATAATTACTAAGTAATATATTTCTCGAGTAATACAAAAATAATCACAAAGTAGGCATTTAAATGTAAGTAGTAATGGGGGTAATATAAAAACAAAGAAAACACACAAAAAAAAATCATTCATTCCCTACACAGTTTAAGAATTTTCACAATTTAAGGGTTACATCATTTAACAGAAAATTATTCACTTTACTTACGTTTTTATAGGCGTGAAAGGAAGTTTTATATATCCTTTTCGTGATCCCACTTCTGAACTATTGGAGTTAACGAAAATTCATACAACGAGTTTGATTTTCCTCAACAAATTTATTAGCTCTTCCGCTTACACTTTATTATCGAACAATCCAACAGTATAATTACTGATCAAATTTGGCGTAACGTCCTATTTAACCTTCCTTCACTGTTGAAATGCCGACGAGCGAATGACTCCCCCGGTATCGTTTTACAAGTCATGTCTTTACCTTTCCGCATAGCCGGAAACGGTAAATACACGGACCGGATGTAGTCTTACAATGTTTTTCTTACTTTACGAAAGTTGTATTAAATTATACAAAAATAATATTAGCTTAATTATACATGGATTTTAATTAATTATATTTATAGTGATTCGAAGTTTTCAATAAAATGAATAGCTTGAGATTAATTAACCACTGGAAATGGCAATTTATATTATTTAGAATAAGGTAATCCCTAACAATAATATATTGTATACAAGCTGATAATAAAACACTTTGATGCTGTGAGTCTTATTGTAGTTTAACGTATACTAATGCTTCAAACGAGTAAAGACATGCAAATTCATTGTTTTTTAGAAGAAAATAGTCTATTTCTATTTACCGGGAATCCGGGGTCAATAGATACGACATAGGGTTAATAGAGAAAAAGTAGAGTTGTCAAATTTGATTTTGTCGTAGTATGTAGGTTGTGAATCAAATAAAAGAAAACATAACTACATCAAAATTGCCATTATAAAAAATAATTAGTTAATAAATCTGATGTTTATACAATTACATATTATATAACTTAAAATACCATCATAATGTAATTTAACTGCTTTGCAGCGTAAGCATTTTCGATATAATGCCATTAAATAAATAAGCCACTGTTTACATAGTTATAAACATATTTTTTAAATAATGAAAATAAAAAAAATGTTCCAACGTTCGTTAAACTATACAACACTAATTATAATACTACGTGTTTTGATTAACAGCCTTTGTTTATTTTAAGTAGTAGGCAACAAGGCGAGATCGGAAACCACTATTAATTATTTGTAAAATTATGTAACCACTAAACATAAAAGTCAATTGAGATAATTGCGGGATTTGAAGCGGATAACTCACGTCACACCTATTCCGCACCGCTTAGATACCTATTTAACTCGTATACTGGGCATCTCTGTTAAACAATAAAATACAAATATATTTAATGATATATTTAACCGCTAGATTAATATGAGCACACTAAGTAAAGTTACTGCAGGAACTTCTATCTGGTGTAATGGTAAAACTTTACAAAAAAATTTTTTAAAAATTTATATTATAAAATTTAACATTTTATAATATAAATGGACTTTTGAATAGTTTTAATATGGTTTAAACGTTTGTTATTTTAGTTTCAATTGGTTACTTAAATTAATTGATGTAGTAAGTAAATAGTGCAAATACTTTTTGACAACCCTACAAAACATGTTTCTATTAACCTCTATTACGTTTGTAATAACCTCTTATTCGTATCTTTTCACCACTTTCTTCGTTTCTATTAACACCAAAGGAGTTTTTATTTACCCCTCAGTCGTATCTATTCACCGCGAGTTCGAGAAACAATATCAGTGTCCTGATTTTACTATTTAAAAGAATAAAATCGTCGAATATCGATATTCATCTTTGTATTAATAATAGATGAGAAACTCAACTCTAAAATAAAATTTGCAACAAGGAAACGCTAAAAAACTTGATTTTTAACTAAAAGTTTTACACAGCATAAAACCACTTATACTCACACGTTTATAATAACCGCTTTTTTCTTTATTGTCATCAAAATTGACACTAATTTAAAGGTTAGCAAAATAAAGTTAAAATGTTGGCGCATAATAAACAGTAGTAATAAACAGACGTTTCCGAGCTGTAGACAAACCTTGAGACAACTTTATCAAATAACCAGACTTGAGTCCCGTGTGTGTGTAAAGAGTCCCTCAGACAAAAATTTAAAGAAATAAACATATTAACTTAGGCATCGCAATATATTTATGAAAATGTAATGTATGTACATAAAAACATAAATAGCTTTAATAAGAATAAGGATGTGCATACTTTAAACACTAGGAACAAACATAAGCTTGCAATACCAGTTACTAGACTCCACAGAATCAGTAATTCATTTATGGGGCAATGTATACGCTTTTACAACAAAATCCCAGAACATATTCAAAGTTTGTCAATAAACAAGCTTAAAAGTTTTATTAAAGAAAGACTGTACAAAAAGGGTTATTATAATATCAAGGAATACATAAATGAAAATAACCCCTGGGAATAAGGTGATCGCCACCATGCTGGTTCTATGATAAATTATTTAAAAATTGTATAAACGAAATTATTGTTAAGTGAAATATGTTTGAAAAAAAAGTCCCGCTGGGTTTCTTGCTGGTTCTTCCCAGGACAGAGGTATTTTCCGAACCAGTGGTAAACTAAAAAAGGACTTTCAATAAGAACTACTTGCAATCAAGATTGAATAAAAATTATTCTATTCTATTCTATGGTTGTAGCACGAATTGGTCGGCTCGACCGGGGAAGGACCACGCTCTCACAATACCGGTGTAAAATAGCAGCTCGATGCTGCTATGTTTCGTATAGTGAGTGTAGAGAACCTTTTTATTGGAAATCAGGCATTCCATCTTAGTCCTCAGGGGTAAGTAAGTGGGGTCTTTCAATAAGAATTATGTAATAATCAATATTGAATAAAAAAAATTCTATTCTATTCTATTCTATTCCATGTGTCTATTCATCCCGCAATTTCTATTCACTTCAACTTACGGTACCTAATAATCTAGATATACCTATAAATAATAAAATCTTACCTTTCGATATTATTAGGAACAGTAAATAATGAAAAGTCGACATTCCTATTGTTATTTAAGCACCTGTATGCCATGCAGTAGTTGAATAAAAATTCAAAAATAAATATCAAAAGTGTCTAAATACTTATAAGAGAAAAATACTTTTTTACCTTACGTTAACACTTAAAGTGCGCGTCAACTAAAACGCGCGCAGAGTGAGACAGGCCTGCCCTTCCGTATACATATATTGAACAAGGACAAAAATTCAGACCTGTATCATTTATTTGTAAACCATACAAATAAAATGTGAAATACGTGAAACATAACTGTTTATCGGCGAGCAGTATGAACAAAGTTTCCGCGCACTCGTACACCACCCGTACTGAGAGCATTTAGCGTCAGCGCTGATGCTGAACTGTTAACTTATACAGTTTTTATGTATTTAAATAATTGTTCACCGACGTCTTGTACGAGAGCTGGAGGAAAGTAAAGGTGAATTTATGACTCAAAAATTCTGAGGTGGTATAAATATCACGGATATATTATAAAAAAAAAAATTATAAAAGATAAGAACGAGGAATTAATAGGAGGAGCTAACAATCCATCTGATATTAAGACGCTACTGCAACCCAGAGATGTTGTTCCCGGAGAAATGACAAGGACTACCAATGCGTTATAATTCCTGAAATTTATGATGAAATGCGCTTTATAGTATGTAATTTTTTCCCCCTCTCTTCAAAGCAGAATATCCGTTACATCCATTACTGCTTATAAAAGTCAAGTGCTGAACATTGTTATTTTCTATATTTTGCCTTTTGATTTTGTCACGTTTAGGAGGCGAGTTGGCTACCGCAGTTTATTGTTTTCAGTTGTTCTTAAAAAGATACTGCTGTCCATATCCTGTTTCACGGGTAGTGGATGTTCTTATACCGCCATGTTGACACTTCAAAACAGAACAGGGACTGCCCTATATAAACCTAGACGTACAGAAACTGCCTCATTTACTGCCTCAACAACAGCGACAGTAATGGGCGGGTGTTTCAGTCTGAAGGGCATTGAGAGCCAGTATATAATTATGGTGCCGTGTAACAATATCCACTACACTATATTATTCCGTGGGTGTCGTAAGAGGTGACAAGAGGGAAACAAATCAGGAGATGGGCAGCAGCGTTTTCCTAATAACGACTAAAAATAAAAAACTGTGGTTACTAACCCGCTTGCCTAGAGTGGCAACTATGGCAAGTATTCCCCTACGAGGAAATATATTAGGGATTAGTTTAGATAGGCTGTAACGGTGACGGTAAGAATCAAAACTCTGATGCGTTATCATCCCTGAGGACTAAGATGGAATGCCTCGTATTCAGTAAATAAGTGTAATGTAGGGTAGCCCACACGACTTATATATTAATGTTAATTGTGATATATGTTGGAATGGTGTCAACGAGAGTGAGACGTATGTTGTTCTGACTAAGACTTTAATTGGACTACCACTAACAACTACAATTAACCAAGTCTCCGGTTAAATGATCCGGTTAATTCCTCCGCTTAATTATGATCATTGATCTACTTGAAGAATGTTGTCTTTTTAATGTATAAGTCAGTATCCTTATTTTATTTTTTTATTTTTATTTAGTGTACCCTACCCATTGTTCTTTTTCTTATTTTTATTTATTTCTTCTTCTGGGTTGTCTGGAAGACATTGCTATGTAGCAATATGACCGCCCTTTGTATATCCCTCAATAGTTGTTTATTTTATCTTTTTGTTATTTTTAACTTTTCTTGGTGTACAATAAAGAGTTTTATATTGTAATGACTGATGGTTATTTGGTGGTTATAATATGATGATATGGTATGGTGAGGTGGCGCTGATGACGTCGTGGGCCAGCGTGGCGCGCGAGGTGTGCCGCGCGCTGGGTGCGGCGGAGGCGGCGCGCGCCACGGCGGCGCTGCTGGACGCGCCCGCCGCCGCCGCGCCGCCGCCGCTCGCGCGCGCGCGCCTCGCCGCCGCGCAGGACGTGCTCAAGGGCCCGCTGGGGCAAGACCCCGGTCAGTCGCACACCTCGCCACACACCACGCACCACGCACCACGCACCACGCACACGCTGCACATACAACACTGGAATCTCGATTACTCGAACTTCGTCAGCTGGACCCCTGAATCTATCTCAAATTATTTAGACTTTGTAACTCGAACAAAAGGCTATTTCCTTTCGAGGTACTAATAGTACATATTTATACTCTACAACTCGAACTCGAAAGTCGAAGTTAATAAAATATAATAACGCCTTACTTGGATTTTTCCGAACTCAACAATAAAATCCAAAAGTAATATTAATTTGTTGCTTCTGTTCTATTGTGTGTAATTTGTATGATGAATATATGAATTAATTCATTAAACTTTCCAAATAACACATATGTAGTTACTTAAGTTCATTTATATTTTGAAAAAAATCTCGAAATTTTTGTTCAATCGAAAACTCATTAATTTGAAATTTTAAACATTATACAAATACGCAAGGCAAATACTTTAAACACTACTCAATTTTAAAATGTCGTTAAGTTTCGTGGTGTCACAGTGATAGAGACTTAAAGTGATAGAGACAGCAAAGACTTAACGGCATCTTAAGATTGAGCAGCGTTTGAGTATTTGGACATTTACCTCTTAAATATACCAGAAGACATATATTTTTTTTAAATACCATACCTCAAATACCAGGGCTTCAGAAATGTACAGCAGTGTGATGATGATAACATTAAAGAATGTGTACCTGTTACGTTACGATTTCAGAGGCGCGCAACATCGTACTGACGAGTGCGTGCCACCACTTGCGAGTGCACTTAGCGCGGCGCGACGAACTAGCACAGTGTGCAGACATGTTGGCCGAACTAGTCGCGTTACTGTGGAAGAAGGAAGATCCCGAGCGACCCGTGCCACAAGAAGATTTTGATCCAGATGTTGACGTGCTCTGCCTTAACACGCTTGACGTTCTAGTCGAGACCGTACTACATCTCATCGGCGGGAATTCGCCTGTATTGGTAAGTTTAGATATTCACGCACCTCATTTAAATTTAGTTTTGGATGATGAATTTTAGTATTATGTGCTAAAATTAGTAAAAACTAAATATAAAAACTACGCGCTGATATTAGATATCTGTTCTTAAGAAAATTCGCAACGGAAAACTAAATCAAGATTTACCGGCATACATAGATACGGTTAAAAAGCCTAAAAAATATTTGACTATTTGGTGAAGAAATAAAGATTTTGACGGGTATTGTGCTTAACATTTTACATAAACGCTTGAGCATATATGTAATAAATACTGATAGTGAGTCAACTCGGCGGCTAGACGGAGCAACGATAGGGCGCGGTATGAAGGAGAGCGGAGCTCCGCCCCTGCTCGCGACGTCTGCGGTAGTACCGGTCGACTTCGCTTGCGTACCAGTACGCCCGTTTAGGGAGTGTCTCGTACACGGAATCAGTTGCACTTTTGGTGTTTACCCATCATATTATTTTGAAATATTGGGAAAACATTAAAAATAAAATTGAATTCAAATAACCATGTGATTGCTTCCCATCACAATTTTTAATTGAATTGCATGTAAGGATGAGAATTCATTATATCATTAAATTCTACAAAAGACAATTAAAATTTAAAACCCAATAATAAATGTAAATATTTGTCGGTTGCACATCTGTAACAAGGTGGTTGAATAAAGAGAACCGACGTATAATTTTAACCTGCTTTATTTATTCTGTCCAACCCCCTACCCAATATTTTAAGTGGAATACCCGAAATACTGCTATATAGCAGAAACCTTTGTTTCCATCACGACCAATCAGGTGAAGCTGCGGAACGCAACTAGTTTTGTAAAGTAGTAATTAGTTTGTATCTTTGTATACGGGTGGGCCATCTAACGTTTGGAATTGGAACTATAGGTTATTTTGAGATTGGAAAGTTTGATGACATTTCAGATGTGAAAGAAAGTTAGTTTTATGTTTGAGATTTTATGAAATGGGTCGCTTTTCGCTTGAACAATGTTGGGAAATATTTGAAACTTATTTCCAAAGTGGTGAGTCTTCTACTCAAACTGTAAGAAATTTACGAAAAAATTTTGACAAAGGTTGTTTAAGCCAAATCTTAACATTTAAAACTTGCATTCAAAACGCTCGGCTCGGTCGCCTGACGTGTGGGCTAGCAACCGGTTTTGATGGCGTGGGCCGGCGGCCAGTGGTTTGCCCGTCGCGGTCGTGTCGACTAGTCTGCAAATTACGCTCGAATCATTAGGCCGCGTGACGACCGCCTCTTATTGTGTTGTCTTTTTCGTACGTTTACGTGACAACGAGGCTCTTCTTGAGTTTGAGTGATTAACTTAACTTCGATTGCCATTAATTTGCGTCTACGAGTTGCTTGTGTGGCATTTTAATATCGTACGAGACATTTTTCCTTTGTCGGTAGAACGCTAAAAATTTGTGACCCGAGAGGAGATCGCGTTCGTCTTCGATTATAATTTTGTGCTAAGTGACGTTAGACTTGAGTTTACATAAAGGTGAACGCCCTACAAAGTGATCGCACATCTTTGGGAGCAGAGAAACGCATGTGGGTCTGCTGTCCGATTACATCGGTGACGTCAGGTTACATTTACACACTTTCGCACACCACTTACATACCACCAACTTAACCCCGGACTGTACCTTGTGGTCGATTCTACCTCCGGAACTCGGTAATTTTGTGTTTGCTTATCAGCCATTACATAATAATTATCCATAGGCCATTTGGGCCCGACCCTCTGGTTGCCCGTCGAGTGGGCTACTCATGGGCCCTAGTCCAGTCGACTTCTGTCGGGGAACTGAGGGCCGTAACAATTTTGTAAGCAGAGCGTGGTTACGCCCGGCCGTAATATAAAAAAAATATATTTTTTTTTGTTTTGTTAGTGGATCGGTGGTTAGAACCACGCCCGTTAGGCTGCGCAAGCAGGAGTGTAGTTTAGGATTAGGTACCTACGCGTCAGGTATTTCGGGTAGGTAGATTAAATTGCCGAAGCGTCGGTCGCCTGAGCGAGGCATCTTTGCTGACCGACTGTAGTGTGCACTTGCCGTGTAATTTGTATTTAATTTAATTTAATAGTAATTTGTATTTAGTAGTGATGCCATCGCACAGGCCCCCGGCGCTTCGCCTGCAGGCGGAGCTGCGCTGGGCCGCGAATGCCCGTGCTTTGATAGGGCGACCCGATCGGGTCCATAGTTTAAAGAAGCGGCTCGAGCAGGTCGCGGCCCGAAGGACCGTAGTGGAGGAGGCTTACACTGAGCTCGTGGCCTCGGATGCGGAACAGGGAGTCCTAGACTCCAGCCTCGCGGGCTAGGAGCAATTTTTTTCGCTCACGGACGACTTGATCGAGGCGGGGACCAAGTATGCTAATGAAGCGCGTGAAGCTCGGCTGAGTGGCCTGCCCGAGTCCCCTCGGAAGCAGCCTACTCAGCCGGAGCTGTTGGGATAACTCCCAACTCTGGACCTGCCAAGGTTCTCCGAGGTCCTCTCCGACTGGCTGACCTTTGTTGGTCTTGGACTGGAGGGACTTGACACTAAGCCAGAAGATGGCGTACCTCCTGGCCTCACTGGAGGGGGAGGCCCTGGGCGTCGTCGGCCATTTGAGATTGACGGACGACGCCTACCAGACTGCCCGGGACCTCTTCGCCGGAAGGTACGCCAACGTCCGGCGAATTGCGGACGAATACGTTAGGCAGCTTCTAAACCTCCCGCTGCTTAGGGACCGGGCCAGACTACGTCCGGACATCGTAAATCCAGTCGTGGTGGCCTGTAATTCGTTGAGGCGGCTGGATTTACCGGTGGACGAATGGTCCTTCTTGTTGCTCCACGTCGTGCTGTCCCGTCTGCCTCTCGATCTTCGGATCCATTTTGAAGAGAGGTACGGCGGGGACGGCGCCTCCTATATTCCGCCCTTCAGGGACCTGCTACGGTTCTTGGAGGAGCAATGCCGGCAAATTGAGAACGCAGCGGGCATTGCCGACGACCTACGGGTTGCCAACCGAGCCGTGCCCAGGGAGAGGCCTAATCCGCCGGGCAAGTCGTCGCCAACTCCACTAAGGCCGAGCGGAGCTCCCGCGGGAGGGCGCCGCCCCCTACCATCTTATTGCGGCCTAGCGGCCAGGGAGGCGCCCCCCTGCTCCTATTGTCGAGCATCCGAACACCGGGTGACGTCGTGCCCGAAGTTGTGTGTGTAACAAACAAAGTGTACCGGAACAAACTTGTGTCTGAAGTCGAGTCTTTGCTGAACAAAGTCTCGGATTGGGGGCGACTAAATCTAGTCCAGTTTAATCCTCAGAAGACACAAGTTTGCGCGTTTACCGCTAAAAAGAACCCCTTTGTCGTATCTCCTCAGTTTCAAGGTACTCCCCTTGTTGCCTCACCCAGTATCGGAATCCTCGGCGTCGACATATCGAGTAACGTGCAGTTTCGTGGTCACTTGGAAGAGAAAGCCAAATTGGCCTCTAAAAAGCTTGGCGTGCTCAGCAGAGCGGGACAGTATTTCATGCTGGCTCAACGCCTGCAACTTTACAAGGCGCAGGTTCGGCCTCACATGGAATACTGTTCCCATCTCTGGGCTGGGGCTCCCCAGTGCCAGCTCCTTCCACTTGACCGCATCCAGCGCAGAGCGGCTCGAATTGCCGACGACCGAGTCCTTTCCGATCGGCTTGACTCATTGGCACTGCGAAGAGATGTTGCATCTCTTAACATTTTCTTTCGCATTTACCATGGGGAGTGCTCTGAGGAATTGTTCGGATTAATCCCAGCCGCCAAATTTCACGAACGCACATCGCGGCAGAACTCCCGATACCATCCACACCATCTGGATGATTGGCGGTCCACCACTGTGCGATTTAGAAGATGTTTTCTTCCTCGCACAACTTCTCTGTTGAATAGTTTACCACCAGCGACTTTTCCGGACCGATACGACTTAAGGACCTTCAAGAAAAGAGCCTACTCCTTTTTAAAAGGCCGGCAACGCATCTGCAATTCCCCTGGTGTTGCGGTTGTTCATGGGCGGCGGTAGTCACTTACCATCAGGTGAGCCGCATGCTCGTCTGCCCCCTATCCTATAAAAAAAAAAAGTTATTGGGTAAGCCGGTCCCAGCGAGGCGAACCATCGCGAAGGAGCGCCGCTGGTGCTACTCGTGCTTGGAAAGGCACCTCCAACGAGACTGCCCGCACAAGCAGCCTTGTCTGCACTGCCAGGGTATCCACCATGCCGTTTTGTGCCTGGGTGCGAACGGCGCTTCCTCTCGGGGCTCTGCCGGGCCCTCAACTCCTACGGGCAGGGGCGCTCAGCCACGCCCTCTGTCGGGCGGCGTTCGGCGCTCGCCTGCCGGACACCGTGCCCCAGGTTTTGAAGGGGGTCGTTACCCCAGGGACGGGGGGGTTGTCGCCCCCCTCAGCGTGTTGAGAGGAACTTCACGGCCACTCAGCGGTCAGCTAGACCCTTCTCACCCCCGTTAGCTGAGTGGCCGCGACTGGGGTACCACCCTCCCCCCTTTGGTCGGTACCGGTACTACGGGGTTCCTGCGATCTCGAATCTGTCCCGGGCCTCAAGGCCGAGGTTCCCCGAAGCTCCCCAGGTCGGCCCGTTCGGTGATTTCCAACCACGGGTCACTGAGATGCCGCCGGAATGCCGCTTTCGGGACCCCCGGTTCGAGTGCCGGTCCGATGGAGGCAGCTCCAGCTAGGTAGCTGCCGCCCTAGCTCCCACCACGGCCGCCTCCACTGATCCTTTGAGCCGTCAACAGTCCACTTGTCAAACTTGGCCTCAGTGAAGGTGTACAACCCGTGTGGCGACTGTTTAACGGTTCGCGCTCTATTGGATTCGGGTTCACAACGCTGTGTGGCCTCCACTTGTTTGGTGGGAAGATTAGGGCTCCCCTGGAGCTCTGAATCACGTCTAATGGTAGATATCGGAGGTGCCGAGCCTCCTGCTCCTAGGGGACAAGCGGAGTTGGCCCTGCTAGCGAACACCTTCACATTCTAGTTAATGTCCTCGATGACATTGTAGGTTTTCTCCTTAACGTCCGTATAAATGACAGCGCGGTTCGTTGTGCGTCGGGGTTGAGACCGGCAGACCCTCAGTGGTCCCAACCTGAGCCTATAGATTTGTTGCTGGGGGCGCTGGGGTTCATCTTGTTAGGCGAGATACGATCCCTGCAGCCCGATGGCTCGTCAGCCATGTCCACTTTATTTGGGCACAGCTTCTTTGGACCTATTCTGTGGTCTCCACCTCCTCAGACGGCCGACCCGCTCTCTGTTGTGGGCGTGTCCCTTTCGGACGTCGTCCAGCGGTTCTGGGAAATTGAGGAGCCACCACACGCGGCTCGAGTCAACCCTCTGGACCGTGAGTGCGAGTTGTTCTACCAGAACAATACCGGCCGTCGTGTCGACGGTCGTTTTGTCACACGCTTACCCTTTCTTGACTCACGGCCCCTTTGGGCCAATCGCTTACCCTGGCCGAAAAGAGGTTGCTTTCCATTGAGCGCCGTATGCGGCGCGACCCAGCCTTTCGCGACAAATATGTCGAGTTCATGAGCGAGTATCAAGAGCTGGGTCACATGTCACCGTCCAACTTCGACTGGCGGTCACAGGAGCACTACTTCTGCCCTCACCATGCGGCCTTGTGGACCCCTGGGAGTAAGATTCGCGTAGTTTTTGACGGCTCCGCCCCCTCTTCAAATGGTGTGTCCCTGAACCAGTGTCTCCACTCTGGTCCTAAATTGATCAAGGACATATGCGACATTTTGACCCACTTCCGTCGGCACCAAGTGGTTTTTGTAGCCGACATTCGGATGATGTTTCGACAATCAGTGATACATCGTGATGACCGTCGATATCAGCTGATATTGTGGCGCGAGAAGCCCAGCGATCCGATACAGGTGTTTGAGTTGAGCACCACCCCCTATGGACTCCGGTCCAGCACGTATATCGCCATGCGAACCCTCCTTGAACTCGCTGAGAGAGAGCGTCTAAAATACGTTCGGGGGGCTTCTATTTTGGAGACTTCGGTCTACATGGACGACATTTGCACGGGCGCCTCCACCGTCGGGGAGGCTCTTGTATTGCGAGACGAATTGATTGCCATCCTGAAGTCCGGAGGTTATGAGTTGCGCAAATGTTTGTCGAACTCCCCTCATATTTTGAAGGACCTCCCAGGAGAGGATCAACAAGACCCTCATCTATTCGAGCACCCTGAAAATCCTAATTTGTTGACTGTGCTGGGCATTCAATATCAGCCTGTTCAGGATACTTTCACGTATCGAGTCAAACTCGATCCCCCTCCTAAAGCATGAACCAAGCGCTCCGTGCTGTCTAGAGTAGCCCGCACCTTCGATCCTAATGGATGATCACTCCGGTAATTTTTTTGGCTAAGTGCTTTCTTCAATAGCTCTGGATATCCGGGTTGGGTTGGGACGAGCCTATTAGTGGTGCTCTCTTGCGAGAGTGGCTCTCCATGGTGTCCTCCCTTCCGGACATCAACCGGGTCTCCATGCCAAGGTGCTTCCTCCCTCTAGGGAAATGCAGGGCTACCCTGCATGGATTTTGCGACGCCTCTGAGAAAGGCTATTCGGCTGTCGTATATTTGCGGACTGTGAGCTCTTCTGGCCATACTTCCGTCCATCTCGTGCTTGCTAAAAGCAAGGTTGCTCCCATTAGGTCCCGCTTAACTATCCCTAAATTGGAACTGTCCGGAGCCGCTCTTCTCTCGCGACTCCTCAACCACGTTCACTCGTCTTTGAAGTCTGTAATCGACATTACGGACGTCTACGCGTGGTCGGACAGTGAGATAGTACTTTGTTGGCTCAGGGCTGCACCTCACAATCTTGAGGTCTTTGTGGCGAACCGCGTGTCTTAAATCCAGAATTCTGGGACGTCTCTAAACTGGAGACATGTCCCACGGGAGTTGAATCCCGCAGAATGCGCTTCTCGCGGCTGTGAAGCCCCCTCTTTGGTTGACCACCCGCTGTGGTGGGGTCCCAGTTGGTTGACTGAGTCTCAGTCATTCTGGCCCCAGAATAAATACTCCGAACCGATTGAATTGCCTGGCCTACGATCCCGAGTAGGAGTGGGCAAGGATAAGCCCACTCGGGATTTCTCACTGCTTGGTTGCGTCGATTTGTCCGCAATTCGAGAGACCCGTCCAACCGAATCTCTAATTCCGTTTTGTCCCCTAGCGAGCGTCGCAAAACTTTGATGCATTGGACCCGTATGGTCCAAGCGGAGCATTTAGAGCCCGTGATTGAAACCTTGAAGCGGGGCTCCGTTGTCAAGGGTGCTCACGCCCGTCTGAACCTCTTCCTGGACGACGCTGATTCTCAACTGCCGTACGGGGCTCGACACCCGTTACTGCTCCCTAAGGACGGCGCCTTTGTTCGGTTGCTGGTAACTCACCATCATATAAAAGCTTTTACAAAAATTTTTACTTCGCAAATATCCGCGTTATAAAATAAAATGATGTGTCTCACCTAGTACGAAGAGCACCTCCCGCCCTCCATTCCCTCCAAGTATTTTGTGGTATAACAAAGGAGTTGACCTACTATTAGTATTTAATACACATATGGCTTGGGCATGAAAAAAAGTATCTAATGTAATAAGTATATTAATGAGACTCAATCCAAGTCCCAGAAAGAAAGCGCTGTGTTTTCATTTTTTATCGACGACAAAATGATGGTTTTGATAAACACAGGTTTCCATTGACAGATCTGATCATCGGATGTCACAAAAATCAGTAAAAAAATTTCGAAATACCATTATTATTAATTCAAATTTTAAAAAAGAAATATTCTTTTTCAGGGTTCAATGGTAGCTGGTTTATTGGGTACCATGGAGCTATTAAAACCGGCACATTACCAGAGGCTGTGGAGTCATCTCGCACCACATCCTCATGACCGAAAACCCTTAAAGGATTTCCTGATGCGTGCTTTTCTCGTCTTCAGACATCTGATTGAACAAGATGTGAGTTTTAAATAATATTAGGGCTATTTACTAAAGGGAACACAGGCTTTTGAATTCAAGTATTATATCTTTGTATACATATAGGATCGATCTTAGGGAATGCACCTAATCAAAAACCTTGGGTGGAAGGTCGATTATCAAAAATATGAGAGCGTGTTACAATGCCTTCGTTGTTCGGAGTCTCGTGTTACTTTACCATGTATTTGATGAAATCCCACTAACTTAGGAAAAGGTTTTAATCATGTTCTTTTCTATCTTGCCAGGTTTTTCCATCAGATTGGATGGTTCTACGTGTACAAAGCTGCAAAGTTTTGCTATCAGCATTGCAAGATTTGGCCAAGCCGTTACTTGAAAGGTTTATGGGAGACGAACCTCCACAATTTGACACGCAGGTAAGTCTTGCATAGTGCAGAGATTTACTAAAAATATATCAGACTTATTATCATATAAGCCTATACTATCCCACAGTTGACAAAATCAGCCCTCTATTTCCTTTCTCTATCGTGTTCAGTTCATTGCTTGAGTTTCCTATTCCTTCTACCAATCAAGAGTCCAGCTCTCGACTCCATTATCGCCTAAGCCGGCCACGCAAAGATACTAAAAATTATTTGTGATCACTTTTGCCTACTTTTGTAAGAAGTTCTAATTTGGTACACAAATGTTTACCATTACAGAGTACTAAGCCTAGCAATGAGTTTTGGTCGTTTCTCTTTCGAGTTACAATTGACTAATTGATATAGGTTACCGGTACGACGAGCCTCCCAATCTTGATCCTTTTCCCCATCAATTGTCAGTTTGTCGAGTTATGTGGCCGGCTTATTGTCCCACAACAGCTTAATGATCCGTTTGACTACGTTTCAGTAAAGTTCCCAATGCTAGGCATAAGCTTCCCAACATTTCTAAGTGGATTTGGAGCATTTAGTCTATCGCGTTGCTTCAACTCGTATGGGCGGATTACACATGATCTAGCAATATTTTATTTCGTAACCATGCAGTTTCCTCACGATGTTTTTCTTTACTGCCGAGCATGTGGCACACAAGATTGCAATTATTTTTAGTGTCGCCGAGTATCGAAGCCGGAATTCTCGCGTAATGTGAAATATACAGTGAGCTTAATAGCTTGTAATAATAATAATAAAAACTGTGGCTTTGGAAACTGCTTGTTAAGCTTGGTAACTAAGGCATATATCCTCCCTATGAAGCAATCTCTGTGGGAGACATATGTTTAATAGTAGACTTGATTGAATGAATGACGGATGGTGAATTGTTGATCAGCTATGGTCGGGGTACTTGGAGCTGGGCGTAGCGCTGGTGACGTGCCGCGCGCTGCAGTGGGAGCGCTGCGCGGGCCGCGGGCCCGACCGCGCGCGCATGCGCCAGGCCGCCGGCCTGCAGGTGCTCGCCGTCTGGAGCCGCCTCGGTGAGACCTCGCACAGCACGACTGCACACCTGCATCACCTGCAAGCTATACCGTGACGTGCCAACCACTGCAGCACCCGACCGACCTAAACCCTAACATTTTCAACTCACACCACTCCAGCCTCACCCGTAAACCCTACCGTAACGTGCCGCGCGCTGCATGGCCCCACCAGCTACAGTTGCATACTGTATACTGTAACTTCAGCAATAATGACGTAAAAAGTAGTCCAGTTAAAAAAAGGCTCAACATGCAAAAGAAATAAAATTTGTTGCAACTTTATCGTTTTATAGATGTTTAGTTAAACATAATTATTTTTTTAAATATCTATAATAATCGGAATCAAGTAGGCTATAAGGCGATCAAAATCACTATGCGCCATATTGTGATAGCTTGCTTAGCTGTCAATATAAACCGGTCAAGTAGGGTGAGAAAAACAATTATTTTAGAAAAAATATAAAAATTAAAAAAGTTATGCAAAACATCAACAGTATTCCGAAGCAATAAGGTCCAAATTCACTAATCGCACTGTCTGAAAGTGCAACGAATTGCAATATGGCGTATCTCGAAATTATAAAGTGCAATAATAAGTACATAGGCAAGCGCGGCACAGCTGATCGACATAATGTTAAGCGGGATTGTAATAACCAAGCACATCATGAGGTCATAAAGTGCGTTATGCGCGTACGCAGACGTGGCACAGCTGCACGTGATTGGTGTGGCGGTAAGCGCGCTGATAAACTTGAACTATATCTTATAGTCATAAAGTGCAATATGCGCGTGTGTTGATGCGTCGTTAGGCACGCTTGTAAATTTGAACCGTATGTTGTGTAAGTGATGAAGTTCGGGCGTGGCAGGGGCCGCGCGTATACTATAATCATATAGGCTCACCTGGACGTAAGTAACTACCGCCGCCCATGAATAACTGCAACACCAGGGAAATTGTAAATGCGTTGCCGACCTTTTAAAAAGAAGTAGGTTCTTTTCTTGGAGGTCCCTAAGTCATATTGGTCCGGAAAAATCGCTGGTGGTAATCGATTCCACAAGGAAGTTGTGGGAGGAAGAAAACATCTTCTAAATCGCACTGTGGTGGACCGCCAATCATCCAGATGGTGTGGATGGTATCACGAGTTTTGTCGCGATGTGTAATGGTGAAATTGAGCGGCTGGAATTAATCCGAACAATTCCTCAGAGCACTCCCCGTGGTACATGCGATAAAATACGCAAGGATGCAACATCTTTACACAGTACCAGTGAGTCAAGCCGATCGGAAAGAACTCGGTCGTCGACGATTCAAACCGCTTTGCGCTGGATGCGGTCAGGTGGAACGACTTGGCACTGGGGAGCTCCTGCCCAGAGATGGAAACAGTATTCCATGCCGAACCAAACCAAATTTGAATCGTAGGTGTAAGTGCTAAAGTAGAATGTTGTCGGTGTTGCAGGGAGTGCGCAGCTGCACCTGATCGGCGTGGCGGTGGGCGCGCTGCTGGAGGTGACGCTGGTGGGCGCGCTGCGGCGCGCAGCGCTGGGCGCGCTGGTGGCGCTCATGGCGGCCGAGCGCGCCGCCACCGGCTCCGCGCGCCGCACCGAGGCCGCGCTCGTCGACAAGCTCGACTCGCTCGTCGCCGACAACAAGGCCGACGAACACTACCGCCGCCTCTTCGACACCGTGTCAGTTGCGTATTTACCTGTACCACTTTTGGCGGGAACTTAACCACAAGCCGATTTATGCTCTCGTCCCATACTTTACAAATAATTGTACAGTTTACGCCACCTAGCAAAACACAGCGATCCATTGACGATCGGTATTATAATATCTAAATTTTAAAAATGAGACGACCAGTACCATGATAGGCGTTTTCCGTCTATTAAACGAAAGTTGTCATCTATTTCAAGATGTATCGTTTTCAAGATTGAGTTACCATAATACCCAGGTTCAATGAACCACTTCGTTGTGTCCTCTCCTCTTCTAGTCTCCTCACAAGTCTACTCCTCAATATTTGCTTCCTCTAAGTAAGAGGAGTGATCCAAAAGACATAGAATAGAATAGAATAATTTTTATTCAATATGGATTACAGTACGTAATACTTATTGAAAATCATTTTTTACCTTTACCACTGGTTCGCAAAAAATTCCTCTGTCCTGGGAAGAACCAGCAAGAAACCCAGCCGGACTTTTTTTTAAAAACACAATTTACAATATAATATTTTATACAATTGTTTTAAAAACATTTAGAAAAAACATGGTAGCGATTACCTCATTTCCCAGGGGTCATTATCAGTCAGTCATGTTCTCTTTAATAGTATAATAACACTTATTAGACTTTTACTTACTTTTGCGTAATAATTTAAAACTTTTGATAGAAAAGGTCTGCATATTTTCTGAGTATTTGTTGTAAAACCGTATACATTGCCCCATGAAGGAATTACTGACCCTTTGGAGTCGAGTAACTGGTATAACTAACTTGTGCTTGTTCCTAGTATTTACACAATGTCCATCACTATTTTTAATAAAACTATTTTTGTTTGTATGTACATACATTAAATTCTCGTAAATATATTGAGAGGCCAAAGTTAATATATTGTTAACAGTTTGGGGTTCGAGACAATTAAAAACTGCCGATTGAATTACCAAAATTGACACTTTAATTACATAACACTAATTACAATCTAAAACCACACTGATAATAAAACACAATTGTACTACTGATCACTTAAGTTCACAGTTGTTTCGCTTCGAAGTATTCTCTTGTATCGCCAATTCAATACTTACTCGGTCGTGATCTATACCGGCCTTATATAGGGCCTCAGATAGTTTCCAGAACCTTCTACTGTAGCGACATCTAGAATGTTCGAGTACATATCAGTCCCGAAATTTCTAGAAGGATCTTGACTCTCCTAGTTCTGCTAGTCGACACTAGAGGGCGCTAGTGGTGTCTAGTGTTGCCATTTACAAGACATTAATAGTGGCGTGCAACACTACCCCTTGCTAAGACATGCTCGTCCCGAGCGTTATTGGCCCCATAATAACGCGCCAGTCGATCCACATGGACGATCTTAGGAGTACCTCAGGCACCTTTCTGTATCCGGTAGGTTACGTCATTGATCCTTGTCACAATCCGGTACGGTCCGTCCCATTTAGCTTGAAGCTTAGGAGATTTCCCTTTGCTGCGAGCTGGATTGTGTAACCACACTAGTGAACCTTCGTCAAACCCTTTGTTGTTCATTTTGCGGTCATACCGTGTTTTCATCTTCTCAGACGTTTGCTGGCCCGTCTGTCTGACGTGACTCATTAATGTCATTCATTTTGTTCCGCAAGTCATTTGCACAATCGGTTATACTGCGTGAGGCATCAGGTGGTATTCCGGTGATCAGGTCTGCATGCAGCCGTAATTCTCTCCCAAAGTTTGCGAAAGCTGGTGTCACTGATGTACTGTCGTGAACAGCGCTTCGATATGACAACAAAAACGGTTGTATGTGCCTGTCTCAGTCTTCTTGCCGTTTTTTCACAACTTTTGCTAGGTACCTCTCCAATGTCTGATTAAATCGTTCTAACATTCCATCAGATTGTGGGTGGTAAGAAGTTGTTCTTGTTTTATGAGTACCCATAACTCTGCAAGTTTCCTGGAATATTTGAGACTGAAAAAGCAATCAACGCTGTGAATCTCTAAAGGTACTCCAAATCGACAGAAGACTTCATGAACTAGTTTATCTGCAACTGTTGAAGCTTCTTGATTTGGAATGGCGAAGACGTAGATCTCGTTTAACTCCCAGATGGCTTCCTGAACAACCACTATGGTACAGCTGTAGAACATCCGGTACTTTAGCCTTAGGGACAACCATTTGCAAATGACAACTGTCTCCCCGACCATTTTCCCATTTACTGCACAGGACTCCACCCTGAATCAGCAAGTTATCCCATTGGGCCCAATAGCTTTTCGTGGTCGAACTCATTGCTGAGACGTCGCTCCACTTGGGCTTAGGAGCACTGGCCTTCATCCATTCCAGAATCGGCTTAATGTCCGAATCTTCCTGCTGTGCATGTCGTAGGCTGTCCTTCCACTCATTGCTGAGCTGGTCTGTCCTAAGTATCCTCACAGATACCACTTCCTTAGCCTCTTGCCTAGTACAATGCTTGCAATCTTCAGGACAAGGTCTTCTTGACAATGCATCTGCATTGCCATGAGATTTCCCGTTGCGATGTTCGATCTCAAATTCGTATTCCTGCAGTAGTTCAATCCATCTCACAACTTGTCCTTCTGGATTTTTGAACTGCAATAGCCATTTCAGTGTAGCATGGTCAGTTCGTAAGTGGAATTTCCGCCCCAGAAGATATTTGCTAAAATGCTGCAAGGACTTTACCACAGCAAGCAATTCCCGTCTTGTGACACAATAGTTCCTTTCCGGCTTTGACAACGACTTGCTGAAGTACGCTATCACAATCTCTTGATCACCATTCCGTTGAGACAACACACCGCCAAGTCCTATATCACTTGCGTCTGTGTCAACTATAAATTCCTTGCCCGCATCAGGGTACCCCAAAATAGGTGTTTTGCACAGACGGTTCTTGAGCTCCTGGAATGCAATATCGCAACTTTCATCCCAGCAGAAATGTCGCTTCTCCTCGGTTAGCTTGTGCAGAGGTTTGGCTATATCTGCAAAGTTCTTCACAAATCGCCGATAATAAGAGCACAAACCCAAAAATGCTCTAACCTGTGTCTTGTCTTTTGGAACCGGCCACTCCTTGACAGCGGCAATTTTCTCTGGATCCGTGCGGATACCTTCTTCCGATACTACATACCCCAAAAAGCTAACTTGCCGTTTGAATAGTGAGCACTTCATCGGACTCAACTTGAGGTTGGCACTCTGGATCTTCATGAGCACGCGTTCCAGGTTTTGAAGGTGTTCCTCAAACGTACGGCCTACGATGATGATGTCATCCAAGTAGACCATACAGGCATCTCCAATTAGCCCGGTAAGTACAAGCTGTTGTAAAATGTTGCTGGAGCATTGCACAATCCAAACGGCATCACTTTAAATTGCGACAGACCCTTTCCTGTGGAGAATGCAGTTTTCTCCTTGTCCTTAGGGTCAATTTCAACCTGCCAGTAGCCACTTTTCAGGTCCAGCGTACTAAACCACTTTACGCCTGTAAGCATGTCCAGCGTGTCATCAATTCTTGGCAAGGGATAGTTGTCCTTCTTCGTAACGTCGTTCAGGTGGCGGTAGTCAACACAAAACCGCATGCTGCCGTCCTTCTTTACCAGCACCACAGGTGAACACCATGGACTAGATGAAGGTTCAATAACACCATCCTTCACCATTCCCTCAATCATGGTTTCCACTTCCTTTTCATGTGCTACAGGCAATCATCTTGGCCGCTGACGAATAGGCATTTGTTCTCTGTGTTTATTTTGTGTTTCCAATGTCAGTTTCGTTTGACGAGAAAACATTGGCGTATTTGAGTAACAACTTCTGCGCCTTGACCATTTCATTCGGGGAAAGAACGCTGCGACAGTCTTCTAAAAGTGTGGTCACTCTCGTTTGTCCATCCTTGCTGGGGGTCCCAGTCGATAGATATTGGCACTGACGCAACCAATCCACTTCCTCACTAGTACCAACCAATGTGCCTTTTTCTATAATCTGTTCCTGATCACAAAGGTTCAGCACACGTACTCCTGAGATTTTGGCGGTTCTGACCAAGGTTCGAGCCACTTTCCATGGAAGGTCATTGTCTACCCTTTCCACGAGTACACAATGAAGAGTTTTCCCAGGATTCCGAGGAAGTCTAACCGGCACAATCGTTTCCGATCTCGGCGGAAGAACAATCTTAAGGCTGTACACATTCCCTGATAACGCCCCTTCCACGAAAAGTTCCTCTTGTCCACATTTCAAAACACCTTGCTTAACGTCGATCTCACAACAATTCTTCCTCATAAAGTCTAGGCCCAGGATGCAGTCGTCCATTTTATCAGCCACGATGACATTATGCAGGTAGATCATGTTGCCTAGCTTCAACTCCATCTCCTTCTCTCCACGGATGGGTATGCGCTGACCGGTGGCTGTCATCAAATTAATGCGTTCTCGGTTGTATGCAGAGTCCCCAAGGAACTGACTTATAAGTTGGGAACTGACAACCGTGTGAGAGGCTCCAGTGTCTATGGTCAGTTTACACGGCGTTCCGTTGACCTCGCACTTGATGATTAGGCTGTTCCCATCATGGGTTTGTGATTTCAAAATCCTTGGGGCTCTTTTAACATCAGCCAGCACTCGCATTCCTGGCTTTTACTCGTTTCCCTGCTGCTGCTGGGCGGTGCTATTAGCCGCACTACCCTCTCGAGATCGATCACCTTCCCTTTCTACAGTTCGCTTAGGGCAGCTGGATCGAAGTTGGCCCCTTTCCCCACAGCCGTAGCACCTAGGGCGGTAGCCGTTATTGCGGTCCCGAACTGTAGCTGCTGCAACCTCCCTGACGCGATGAGAACGATGATCCTGCCGCACGGCTTCCACCTCCAGTGCATGGGTCAAGGCTTCCTTAAGCGTCTCCTGATGCCCGAGCCTCACAGCAGCTCTGACTTTAAGGTCGCGGATGCGATGGATGGTCGACGAATGTCTGCACTAGGTTCCCTACAATGAGCGCAGGTACAGACTGGTATGCTTTTCGAACCAGCTTCTCCACCTCAAGGGCCTACTGCTGCAGGTTTTCGTTACTGCG